GTGAGTGTGTGGATTCCCGTGAAAACTAGTGCCTATAAAAATGATCCAATTAGTCATATACTGTCTTGTGGCATCTCCTAGATTGATTTTTATTGTCTTCCTTAATTTTTTTCGGTAAGAATCTTTCCCTGCAGCCCTGAAAGTTCCATGTGAACAGCGATCATACCTTACTTAAACATTTTGTCACCCCCACAGCCTAACAAAATTCCCTTGACATCATGGGCACTGGAGAAATATTTACTGTATTTATATTTTTCTTCCTCCTTGACCTCTCCCCCCACCCCCACCCCCTTGGATATATTCGCTACCTAATCTAGTGAGGATTCACTCCAGTAGCATACATAAACAGTGTAAAACAGGACAATTAAAAATGAAAACAGAAGCTAGCTAAAAGGAGCAGATAAATAGTTTTACCAGGCATCTGGGGTGAGTTAGTCACTGAAGTTGAACCCAGAATTCAGCTCCCAGTTTTCTGACAGTCGGGACACAAAGGGGAACAGGTTGGGTTTTCCACCTCCCGGCCCCCAGGCCTGGAATGTCCCCTGTCTCCTGGCTTCCCTGGCTTCCTTCAAATCTCAGCTGAAAGCCTTCAGTAAGACACCTTTCTAGTCTTCCTGAATTGTCGTGCCTTGCCTCCATTGATGATCTCCAGTTTATCCTGTTGACATCTTGTTGGTTCATGGTCATTCACATTAGGCTGTGAGCTACTTTCCTGAGAGCAGGGACCGTGTTTTCCATTTCATTGTATCCCTAATGCTGAATACAGTGCCTGACACAGACTAAGCCCTTAACAAATTTGAGTTGACTGACTGATTGACCACACAGGGCTGCAACCACACTGGGCTATTAGGGTGACCCCGCTCCATTTAGGGATGCTTGGGTTTGGGCTTCAGGTAGGAATATTATAGCCTCCACACCCTCCTGCCCCAAGTTACTTATAAGAAAGCAAATTTTTATATGCCTCCTATTTGTGTGTGTAGTAATATTAATTAGCATAAGTTTCCTGACTACAGCTCTGGCTGTATATTAGACCAGAAGATTTATAGCCAGAAGAGACCTTAGACATGGTTTAGTCCAATAATTTCATTTAATATATATATCCCATCTCTAGAATAGGATAAACTGTCAAGATACAGTATAGTGCGCGGCTCTCTGTGCTCATATGCTTGGAGCTAGGAGGGACCATTGGGGACATAAAGTCCAACCTCCTCATTTGGCATATGACTTGTCCAGGGTCACATAGTAAGTGTCTGAGTTAAGATTTTAATCCAGATCTTTCTGAATTCAAGCCTGATATTCTGTCTGTTATGTTACCAGGGAAACCTTGACTCTAGCCCCATTTACACAAGTAACTTGTCTCCCCTGGAGTTTAGTTTCCTTATCTATAAAATGGACCTTGGTGGTTCTGGAGGTCTCTTCTACCTGTAACATTCTGCGAGCTACAACACTTTCCAGCATTTCAAGCATCTCTGGAAATGTTCGTCATAACACATCTAGTAGTGGTCCAGATGCCATTTGGACCCTCTTCTCTAAGGCCTGAGATGTCTCACTCACTGGAATTAAAGCACCCATCCTGGGAGAAACACACATCTTGATTTGTCTTTTGTGAAGCTGAGCTTTTTATTTGAGCTCGGTTTTTCAGGTCTCACTTTCAAGGCCACAGAAGGACAATTTCCAGTGGTGGGAAAGCTGCAGACCCCAGCAGCGTGGCTTTCTGAGAAGCTAACTTTGACTCGGGAGACCGAGTTCTCTGGTTTTCTTGGCTACGTGCCTTTCTCCTTGGCAGGGGTCACCTTCTCCAAAGCTGCAGGAATATGTCTCGCTCAGCTTGAGGGGAGAACAGGGCCTCATCCATAGGACATCCTGCACTCTCTATTGAGCCTGCTCTGCACTGGCAAGAGTAGGGACAGGCTGAACCCCGAAGTCAGCTCCTCACGCTCTCCTGCCTGGGGCTTCATTTCTGCTTTTTTGTCTCATCTAGAATGACCTCCCTCCTTACCTCTGCCCAGCTAATCCAGTTTATCCTGCAAGGTCAATCAGGTCCTCCCTCCTTCAGTGAGTCTCCCAGATTATTCCAGGCCACACTAGTATCTCCCTTTTGGTTACACTTAGAGCTAAAACTATGTAATTGGGCAATTCATTATTTTCTGTCATTACAAAAGAAACTCACAGTTGGAAGGGACCCTGGTGGCCACTTAGTTAACTAGTCTAAACTGTGCTTGAACAGGAATAGCTGAATGACCCTGGATAAGTCACTTAAACCTCTTCTACCCTCAATTTCTTCATCTGTAAAATGGGGATAACAACAAGAACAGTACTTATTTCATAGGATTCTCATGAGGACCAGATGAGCTAACATGTAAAGTGTGTTGTAAATCTCAAAGCACTATAAAATGATGATGATGATGATGATGATGATTATATCACTCAAACATAGAATTTTAGAGTTGGAGGGGCCAAAGGGCCTTTTTAGATTTTAGATAGGCTCTCTCTTCTCCCTGAAAAAAAAAAGTCTGCATTTTGTATACAAAGGCAGCATGGCACAGTGGCTGAAAAGTCTGCCTGGGAGTCAGGAAGACTCGGATTTAAGATCTACTTCAGACATATGCTGATTGTGTAGCCTTGGGCAAATCACGTTCATTTTCTCAGGCAACTCTCAAAGACCTTAAGATCAACAGGTGCTGAGCCTCATTGGTAGAAGAAATTTCCTCATCCTTATTTCTCATCCTAGTGAAATTACACATCTAGTCCATCACCATATTTTGCATTTATTCAGCTGTGTATATAGTGTTTTCCCCAGCAAACTGTGTAATTTTTTTTTGTTTCTATCCCCCAGGACATCATACAGAGACCACTGCATATGTATATATGGTGCTCAGTTACCACTTGTTGAATTGAATGGAATTCAACAGAGGAGCTGTCCCTGCCTGGTTTGGCCAAGGAGAATAGGAGGAAATCTAGGCATGAGTGATGGTAATTCAAAGATTCAGAGCCTGAAGTAAGCTAGTTGTGCCAGAGATTTAGTCTGTCAGATTTATTAGTAACTGCTTTTTTTTCTTAAATGGAATAATCTAAACCTAAAAGGGACCTTGAAGGTAATCTAGTCTGACCCCTTCATTGGGAACCTCTTTGAGGCCCAGACAGATTAAGTGTTTTGCCCTCAGTCACACAGGTAGTAAATAGCAGAGTTATGATTCAAACTCAGGTCCTCTGATGTCAAATCCATTTTTCTTTCGAAGAAAAGACACTCACTCTTTAGAGAGAAGAATCCTCAAGTGAACCAGTGCCTTTAATTTTTTAAGTTGCTTCTCTAAAGGCTGTCTGCTGTCTGACAGAGTTTCAAAAGAGGCATTTTGAATAGTGGAAAGTATACTGCCCTCTCCAGGTGAACTTGGTTCAAGGTGTGACTGTCACTGAAAAGCTGAGGTGAAATTGGGCATATGGTATAACTTCTGCAAGACTCAGTTTACTCACCTGTAAAATGAAGAGGGTGATAACTGCCCTCTTTACCTCAACAGTTCCCTAGAAGGCTTAGATGTGAAAATGCAGAAGCTTTTTGAAAAATGTGAATAAAGCTAAGACCAAGTTTTGTTAAACCTTACTTATCCAATGGCTCCTGAACTTCAACACTGCTTTCCAACTGGCCTGTTTTCCTTGCTATACCTCCCTCCCCAAGCTGTGGTCAGTTTCACCTCTGATGTTTACCACCTGGGGACTTTGGTTATGTTGCTCAATCTTTTGACCTCAGTCATCTTTAAGAGGAGATGGCCTCAAACATCCCCTCCAGCCCTGAGTTTAGGGTCCTATTATCATTGCTGACATTTTTGCCTTTGCTCATCCTGTTCCTACTACCCAGAATTCCTGCTACTCACGTCCTGCCCTTCTTTAAAATCTCAAGTGAAATGCAAACACTTTCATGAGGGCTTCCCCAACAACTCCAATCCATACTGACTTCACAGATCTTTGACCTTTGATAGAGCTTTGAGTATTACCAGAAGAGGCAAGGTGGCCCTTGAAACCAAGAGAAACCTGGCTATGACCCTACATTCTCAAATCAATCATTTGTGTGGCACTTTGTATAGATTTTGTCGTTTGGCTGTCATGTTAACCCTGAGAGTAATTAGCCCCATTTTTCAGATGAAAGTTATTAGATGGGCAAGGCATAGCATCCTTTTGAGCTTCCATTCTCGCATCAGAACAATGAGGGAGAATAATAGGTATGTGTTGTGTATGTGGGGGCAGGGTTGTTTCAAGGATTAAATGAGATCCTTGATGTAAAACAACTTCCAGGTCTACTCAAGTGTTTGATATGGTTAGCATACAGTAGCCCATATTGCCAAGAGTCCGGCTTCTCCAGCTATCTCCCTGAATGCCTCCTGGTCTCTCATGTGGCTCCTTCAGTCACTTCCCATCTGTACCTCAGCCTCTCTTCATTCCTTTGCTGCTCCTTTCCCTCATTCACTCCCTCAGTGGGAAGCAGCCTGTTCTGTTGGGGCCAGCCTTGCTCCATTTGAGGAGACCCAAGTCTGGCTGGCAGCATGGCCAGCTTTTGCTTTCTCCTGAGGGAGGGCTGGGATAATCTGGCAGCTGCCCTTGCCAGGTTCAGATTGGATCCAAAAGCTCCCCTGTCTCCCAACTCCAGAGGCTGGGCCATGGCCAGCATAGCCCTGCTAATAATACAAGTACAGTCTGGAATGATCCTGGAAAATCTTCTAGGGGTACAGTGCTCTGGGGGAAGATGAGTCAGCTCTGGGGTCAACTTTGAAGGTTGGGTCTGGGCTAAACATAATATCTCCCTGGTCTAGTCAGTACTCTTAAGAAAGTAACTAGGCTATGTTGAGCTATATCCCAGACCTGCTGATTTATCCAATCTATATAATGGGATAATAATAGCACTTATTATTTGGAGGGACCAAAGAAGCTCATTTATATAAAATGCTTTGATACCTTTAAAAGCATTATGTTTTTATTTTGGGGGGAGGTAAAGGTAGTGATGCCAGGGCACTCTGACTTTGCAAGTTGAAACTTGAGAGCTTATGTTCTATTACAGTCACATCAAACTCGGGCCACTTTTTGAAGAGGTGAAAATTCCAAATGGTTGAACAGATGAAATCTCTCCAAAGATGAGCCAGCCAGCCAGCCAGGTGTCTTGGCCCTGCTTTGTATCCTCCCAGCCCGAATTTCTTCCTTTTCAAACTTTCCTGCTGTCTCACCCTTCTCTGGAGGCCTTCTCAGAAGCTTAGGCTGCAGAAAAAAAAAACCCAAAAAATAATCCTGTTGAGTAGAAATGCAGAATCCCACTCCTCTCCCCCTACCCCCAACCAAGAAGCCTCAGACTATTTTCAGGAAAGACCTATCTAGAGGCATCCTGGGAGGACTGGGTGTTTTATGTCCTTTCTAGGGCTTTCTCCATTCAGGACAATGCAGTTTCATTCTTTTCTTTTCTGATGACAGTGTTAGGTTTACATCCTCAGTTTAATTCTGAAATAATATTTCTAATGGGGAAGATGCCTTAACCTTGCCCAGAGATCTATACTTCATACAGTTAGGTGTCATGGGATTAGAAGGGGGCAGTTGATTTCTTTTTGCCTTTTTTAGAGTTTTATTTTTTAATTTTTACATTAGTTTTTACATTGCAATCATTTCCAAATATATTCTCTGGCCCTCTACCCTTCCTCTCTCCAGGCCTCGCTACACGCAAACACACACACACACACACACACACATCCAGTGAGCTTTCTCTTGTAACCAATAGAAATAATTAAACAGTTTATACTACCATGCCATCTGATAGTACATGCAACATTCTTCACCCAAAGTCTACCATCTCTCCAAGGAAAAATGAAGGACATTTCCTCATCTTTTCTCCGAGAGCAAGATTTAGTTATTACTATCACACAGCATTAGGTTTCATTTGACATTTTTCATTAATATTATTGACTATATTGTACTGTGTATATTATTCTCCTGTTTCTCCTGACTTCACTCAGATCCCTGTCTTCCCATGCTTCTTGGAGAAGTTTGTAATTTATTTTGTTTTGGAATTGAATCTGTGACTTCATCAATAAAGGGAACTCTTGTTGAGAAACTCCCTCCACTGATGCATGTAAGTAAATGATCTGCAATTTAGCATCACACATGCACATATATGTCGAAGGCAATACTTGAACCCAGATCTCCCTGACCGCAAGGCCAGCTCTCTTCCTTACAGTAGTAGTTCCCAATGTTCTTTGCACCACAAACTCCTTTTGAAAAAAAATGTTGGGAGCTCCAGGTTAATGTAACATGCTACTCCTAACATTCTGTAAGTATTTACAACTTAAGGCACCCTTAAAGAATTTTTAGCATGAACTGTTTGGACCATTGTCCATAAACCATTAAAGGGGAACCATGGCCTTATGCCATAGCTATCTCTCTTACAAAACACACACACACACACACACACACACACACACACCAATTACATCCTTACACCACAATTTGTTCATTTGTTTCCTGATAAATGGTTTGGGAAATTGATTTTTTGATCCATTCCTTTTTTTTCCTCTGTATTGGAGTTTTGAACACTTGGAAGTCCATTTTGAAGGTGGTTTTTAAGCCATGTGCTAACTGCGAAGTTTAGTCCTCTTGGTCATGCTATCCAGGACAGAGCCCTGTAAAATGTTTTAGTTTATATGTGTAATTGAAAGTGGTTAAAATAATTTTTTATAGTGGAAATGTCGCAAAATTATAGAATTTCAGGGTTTGAAGGGAGCTTTAATACAACTCGTCCCCTCAAAGGAAATGTTACTAGCATTTCCATCAAGTGTTCCTCTTGACTCAGGCAGAAGATTTCCAGTAAGGGGGTATTCATTGATTCTTCATCAGCCCCTTCCATTTATAGATATTTCTAATTGTTGGGAAGTGCTTATTTGTTTTTTTTTTTCCTGCAATCAAGCCTAAACACATTTCTCTGCACCTTCAACTCATGGCTCCTAGTTCTGTTCTCAGGTAGCAAGTAAAGAAAACCTAATTTCCTCTTCTGCATAGTGGCTCTTTTTGGAGACAGTCATAATATCCTTCCTCCCCTCCCCTGAGTCTTATCTTCTTTAGTCTAGACCAGGGGTGGGGAAATCTTCAGCCTTGAGGCCACATGTGGTCCTCTGGGTCCTCAAGTGCGGCCTTTTGACTGAATCCAAGCTTCACAGAACAAATCCCCTCACCCCAGTAGAAACCTCCAGTTCCATTAGTCAATCTGGTGATCCTCATATGATGTAGACTCAAAATATACTTCCAAATTTTATATATATATATATATATATATATATATATATATATATATATAGATAGATAGATATATATATATATATACATATATACACACATATATATATGTATACATATACATATATATGTATATACACACACATATATATATGTATACACACATATACACACACATATGTATGTATATAATTTGGAAGTATATTTTGAGTCTACATCATATGATGTATTATATATATATATATAATACATCATATGATGTATTATATATATACATAATACATCATATGATGTATTATATATATAGATACATAAATAAATATTTATATACATGCACATATATTAAATCCAGTGTATACACCTCTCTCTCTCTCTGTGTATATAACAGTTGATAGCTACTTGACCTTGGAATCAAGTCCTGAGTTTGACATATGGGCTGTTTGACACTGTTCAAGTCACTTAACCTCTCAGTATGTGCTAGGCAACTCTGTAAGACTAAAAGTCTTGGAAAAGGACCCACATGTACCAAAATATTTATAGCAGCTCTTTTTGTGGTGGCAAAGAATTAGAAATTGAGGGGATGTCTATTAATTGGGGAATGACTGAGCAAGTTGTGGTATGTGAATGTAATGGGATACTATTGTGCGATAAGAAATGATGAGCAGGTGGACTTCAGAAAAACCTGGAAAGACTTATATGAACTGATGCAGAGTGAAATGAGCAGAACCAGGAGACATTGTACAGAGTAACATTGTGCAGTGACTGACTTGGATAGACTTAGTTCTTCTCAGCAATGCCAGGATCTAAGACAACTCCAAAAGACTCACAATGGAGAATGCTATCCACATCCAGAGAAAGAACTTTAGAGTCTGAATGTAGACAGAAGCGTACTATTTGCTCTCCTTTTCTTTTGTTGTTTTGTTTTGTTTCTTCTTTCTTGTGGTTCCTGCCATTAGTTCTAATTCTTCTTTACATTATGACTAATGTGAAAATATGTTTAATATGAATGTGTAGTAGAGCCTATATCAGATTGCATGCCGTCTTGGGGAGGGGGAGAAAATTTTAAACTCAAAGTTTTATGGAAGTGAATGTTGAAAACTAAAAATAAGTCAACTATAAAAATGATAAAAAAAAAACCTAAAAGTCTCTGAGACTCTATCAAAGGGAGAAAATATCTGTATGACCCTTTGCAAAACCTAAAGCACTTTTTAAATGTTGGCTATTGTTATTATATGTTGCAGAAAAGGTGCCAACCTAAATTGATTGACAGGAGGAGCTTCCTTTTTCCTGTGCCAATGAAATCACAGTTCCAACCCATAGAGCCATACAAAAATGCACATTCCTTTCCAAACAATCCATCACTTGGTAAAAAATGCTGCTGGCGAACAAATTAAAATAATTGTATTACAGTAAAAGCAGGCTTGGAAGTGATGACAGGTGTGAAGCATTTGCAGATCTGAATTGTACCCTCCTAGATAAATTTACATTACATTAGAAACAAATGCTAATACAATAATCTCTCTCATAGTGGAAGTTTAAATTGCAAATTTTTGAAATCCAGAAGCCACTTACTTAGCAGTAGCTTTTAATGATAGATCGGGATCTAAGACTGTAGGCTACTTGGTGTGTATGTGGAAGGAGCAGGTAGGGGGTTGACAAAAGGGGAAAAGACCATAAATAAAGGTTCAGATCTAACCTAGAATGGCCTGGTCTTCTGTCCATGTCACCATGTTGGAAAGTGGAGAGCAGGTTCTTTTCTTCAGGACGGTCTGAATTCTATCTATTGATAGACAATATCAAAGAGTCCTTACAGATCCCCCATTCCAATCCTTTCATTTGACTCATAGGAAACAGAGGCCCAGGAAAGGGAGGGGACTTGTGGAAATGAAGAAGCAGGATAGGGACCAGCACCTAGGCAGTACAATGGCCAGAATGATGGACTTCGGGTCAGAAGATGCAGGTAAAAATTCCAGCTCTACACCTGGAGCGCAGAGCCTGGCCCACAAAGGGCACGTATTAATGCTTATTGAATTGACCTCTATCAACTCATGGTGCCTCTGTTTCCTCTTTCATAAAATGAATGGGATGGGATTAGATGCTTTCTGTGCTCTTTGCCAGCTCAGAGAGGTCCACCACTCTGTATCATGTTGTTTTAAGACCTCTGATTATGGGGGGGGGTGAGGGTGGGGCTGAATAATTAAAGTGCTTACCACTGACTTTAGTGTAAACTTAATCCGGCTGCTTCCTGGTAGCTTTGCAAGGCTGAGATTGGAGGGAGGGAGAAATTTGCTTTTGGAAAATGGTTAGATGGAGAAGGGAGGGCCTTACCTCTGTCTGGCTGGTTAGAGCTGTGGCTCCCCATCTCCTCCCTCTCTGGAGTTGCCAGTTCAGAGGAAGAGAGAAAGCCGATGTGTCCCTGGGCTGTTGCCGAGCTGACTGCTGCAAGCCCTTTGTGCCAGGCTTAACTGAATGCTTCAGAGAGAGGCCAGACTCTTGCCTCAGTGATGATGTCAGCATTCTCTCTCCATCACACCTGGCTGAAGCAATCAGATAAGCTCCTTGGGAAGAAGCAAGAGGAGGCAGACCCAGTCCTGACAGGTGAACCAGCAACCCTTTTTGTTCTCTACTCTCGGGGGCCACGTGCCAGGCTGGAGAGCCCTGGCAAATGGTTTGCTTCCGGCTCTGCTCTCCATTTCTATTGCCTGGAATAGAAACCTTTAGCGACTCACGGAGCTCATCCCGGGCACAGCGGCCTTCAATAGAAACTTTTGGCTTGGGGCAAGAATTGATCACTGGAGCCAGCCCATTCCCTTGGGATAAAAGCTGCCGCTTCCTGTCGCACTCATTATTTCAGCAAGGTGGGCTAAGAGAACAGGGATGTGGCTTGGAGGAAATACATCCCAGCCTGTTCCTTTTTGCAGGAACCTGTATGGGTGGGGGAGTTCCTGAGAGTGGCCCTCCTGCCCCACTTATTAAGTGGGGTGCATGGACGCGGCTGAGGGAATTGATTTGTGGCCAGTGAGCTAGTGCACCCTGTTAGTCTGGATGGGCTATTTTGGCTCTCTGGGACAGCCAGCCCAGGAGTGGGACAGGTTGGGAACTGGGTTCTGCTGGCTGAGAGAGCCCTGCGGCCGTTTGGTGAACCTGCGAGGCAGGGAGCCTCTAAGGCAGGCACCGTGCCCGGCACACAGATGGTCCTGGCCTCAGCAGAGCCAATCTGGCCTGTGTAAATCAGCTGTGGGCAGTGAGGATGGGGTGTCAGCAGGGGGCTCTTGGGAGCTGGACTGATCTCTCACACCTGTGGCTTACATGACCACTTCCTATCTTGGCTGGTTATACTCTTAGACCGAAAATCAGTCAAACAAACAAACGAACAAAAAGCCAAATTATTTTGGAAGAGTTTTCTGAACTTAATTCAGTTCAGGTGAAAGGTTAGAGATACTATTTATGAGAATTTTCTTTGCTTGGGGTGGGGGAGGTTTGGTGAAAAAATGCCATCAAGGTGGAGTTATGTTGATTAACATGGAGTAGTAGAAAAATCATTTACTGAACTGGCATCTAGGAGTGCAAGAGAGCTTTGTAGGTAGCTTTACTATTTATTATGTATATGACCTTGGGTAAGCAACTTCCCTCCTTCGGCCTCAGTGTTCTCATCTGTGGCATGGAGGGTTTGGACCAGAACATCCTTGTGTTTTTCTCACTCTTTCTCTTACAAGATAAGGTAGTGAGTAGATTGTGAGGAACCATTGGTAAGAAGCCTTGGGAGGTCATTTGGATGTCTTGTGGAAGTGCCAGCCTTCCTATGGTTTGGGTTGCCCGGAAGGCAAAGGATGTCATTTCTATGACATTTGTGAGGATTGCTGGCCTGTGATACACCAGGAGAATGTGGGGCATTAGACAGCATGTGGCATTTTTATGGGACTTTGCTTTGAAAGGCATCAACATGTCCAGGCCCTCTTTACAACTTTACTGATAAAATTTGGAAATGATATCAATGATAACAAATGACACTAATAACTGATACTTAAATAGATAACACTTTGCAAAGCACTTTATGGAATGATCTCATTTGATTTTCACAGCAACCCAGTGGAGTAGGTACAATTATTGCCCCATTTTACAGAAAAGAAAGCTGAGGCTCAGGGAAACCACTTTCTTGTGATCACCCAGCTATTAATTATCTGGGCAAAACTCACACCTTCCTGATTCCAAATCTGGACTATAAATTTCTGGTGAATAGGGGGACGATAATGTAATACTGTGGGCTTATCGGGTATGGTGCACCATCCTTGGTTTTGCAGGGACATCCACAATCTCTCTGGGCTTCTGCCAGGCTGACCTCTGCAGTATCTTTGTGCCAGTCTTAATTGACTGCTCGCCCTTGGATGGAGGAGATTAAATGCCAGCCTAAGGAGGATGGCAGCCGTGTTCTGAAGGCTCCGTAGCACTCCTCACAGTGATGACCATGGAGCTAATGTTGGAGGAAGACCATTCTAGCAGGTGTTTGTTGTCTGCATCATTAGGATAAAGAGTAGAGGCCTGGGAGGTGGGGGAGGTAAAGGCAAGGCTAGAAAGCTCTCCAAGTCATTTGGTAGAGGGCCCTATGGATGAAGCCACTCAAAGCTGATGGAGGGATTAGATCTTTAATCTGCTCCTTTCCTTTGAGAGCTGATACAAGTTAAAAACAAGGAGGTAATGCTAGGCCATCTTAGCAGCAAGAGGGATTCTGAGAGGCTGCAGCCTTGTACTTAGGGGATTAGAAAGCCTTTCCAACTAGGACAGGCTACAGAACTCACCTAGAAAAAAAGAGAAGGAAAGAGAAGGAAAATGACTTGCTCAAAGGCCCACATCTGGTTAATGATTGAAGAGGAACTAGAAAATAGTGTTTTTCATTCCAACCCAAGGCTTTGGCCTGTAGACCGGGGGGCCTCTTTTCGGTAGTGTATTCATTCAAAGAGTGAATGTTTCCTATCTGAGAAAGGAAGCCTGCAACACCCTTGACTATTTCTCTGTTGTTTGATGTATGTAGCACCTCATTAGAGATCAGAAATGGGGCTCAGTTTATACATGTGTAATACATGTATACATATGCACATAGATGTTCAAATATATGTATATGCATTTAAATATGTGTATAAATAGAAATATAGTGCACATGCATGTATACATACATATATATTTGCATTGGTAGAGGATCATGGAGGGCTTCTCTATGTTAATGAAATCATTTGGATTTCTAGACCTGGGCATCATTGCCCTAGGGAATTCCTTCCTAATCTTCTGGCAGTGTAATTCACCCACTATTATGCAATTTAAAGTCTTAAAGAGTTGCCTTAGAGGTTAAATAATGCACTCAGGGTCACCCAGCTAGTCTATATCAGAGGCAGGATTTGAACCCAGGTCTTTCTGACTCCAAAGCCAGCTCTCTGTCCGCTATGTCATGGTCTCTGTCATATGTAGTATGTATGTCTATTTAAAGGGTATGGCATTTTTCTCAACTTGACCTTTTTAACATCTCTTTCAAATCATCTGAGGTAGGGATGTCAAGCAGAAGACTGTATTTCATAAGTGGGAACTGATAAAGTAAGGTCACGGAAATAGGAAGTTAAGGAAAAGAAGCTGGCATTCAGAGGTAGTAACAGCTAGCGTTTCTATGGTACTTAGAGGTTTGCAACACACATCGCATGTGATTTAAAAAAATTCTACTATTCAGTTGCTTGATAGAGTAAAACCAAGCATAAAAGGGTAACTAAGAATGAGTCCTTTGGTGAATACTCAGAAGTCCTTGAATTCATTAATTCACAGATTTAGGACCTTAGAGAACACCTAGTCATTTATAGATGAGAAAGTGAAGGTCCAGAAAAGTCACACAGATAGAAAGGAGTGGGGTGAGGGCTTGACCCCAAACCCATTGATTCTGTCCTCTGCTCTTTCCACTATGCATTGCAGCTCAAAGAAAGAAAAGTATACGTATGCATATATGTATATGCGTGCATATATGTATATATACATCTATATCTATGTATATATATGTACATATATATGTACATATATATATATATATACACACACACACACATACATATATAAATATATATCAAGAGAGAGAGAGAGAGAGAGAGACAGAGAGAGAGACAGAGAGAGAGAGAGAGACAGAGAGAGAGACAGAGAGAGAGAAGCTATTGTATACCAGGCAGTGGAGCTATAAAGACAAAAATCAAATAGTTCCTGCCCTCAGAGATCTTACAAGAGAGACACCATGAATGCATATGCACATATGAAATAAATGCCAGAAAATTTGGGGTGATGAATATTAGCAACCAACAAATGGAGTGTCTCTTCTACTCTTCCTTCATTAAGCAAACCTCATTTAGATACTACCTGGCAGGACTGAAGGAAATGACTGGAATTGCCTCTGCTTCCTGACAGTGGGCGGAGGTCACCTCTGTCTCTCTTTGCCTCCCATTCTGGAGTGTCTCATCCTATCAGCCGGGCTCACAGGGAAGCCGAGAAGATGAGGAAATTAGCATCCAGCCCATGAGCCTCCTTCACTAAAAAGGGTCTGAGCAGTTCAGCAGGTCCTCGGGTGCTGAATAGCAAATGAAGATGACTAATTGGCTGCAGTAGTCTTGGAAAGGCTCGACCAAAACCACTATGGTGAATGAGATCTTTGCACCATAAATCTGAGCACCCGGAAAGGAGAGTCTTACTCTAAATTAATTGCTGAGAAGCTTCCTTCCCCCTCACCTCTTTACATTGATACAGAGGAGGTTACAAATCTCTTCACACAGATGATAAAATAACTGGAGAGCTAAATCCTTTCTCTTACCTTGGCAACATTAATTAAAGGTTCCTGGTCTGTCATAGTGCTGTCTTGGTTTGGTGCCAAAAAACAGTCTTCTGAACTTCATTGACCTTTTTACATTAGATGCATATACCAAAGGAATTATCTGTTTTCTACAAAAGGGAGATGGGGAGGAGAGAAAGGCCAGACAAATGGGTCCTGACCTGTTTGGTGCAGTGGGAGGAACGCTAAATTTGGAGTCAGAGGATTTGGGGTCCTCCCCTTAGTATCTCTGCGGTGACCTTGGGCAATCTAGTTTGCATCTGTAAAATGGAGAGAGTTGGACTAGCTCTAGACGGTCTGTAATGTGTCTTCTAAATCTCATCTTCTGATTTTATAGTTCTGCTCTGTGTGTGTAGGGCTGCTCCTGACTGCTGTCTTAGTTACTCTTGGAAATGTTAATTGCTTGGTTTATCACGGGATATTATTTCTCCACCTTCCATCTTCCCAAGGCTCACCCCTTCAAAGTGAGCCACAGTAGTCCCCTGCAGGGTCAGTTTTCCTCTGGACTATATTCACTTCCATCCTTTAAGACATACTGTGTTTAAGGCCTTGTTAGGCCCCCAAAGACAAAGTAAAAAACCAGGTGTCCTCTGCCCTCGGGGACCTTGCCTTCTAAGAAGATACAACACTTACCTACAAAGCCAGAGGCATTT